GCTGGCCACGCTTCTTTTAATGCGGCCCAGGACATGGTTGGCTTTCTGGGCTGCCAGCGTACATTGCTGGCTTATGCCAAGCTTCTCCATCCACCAACAACCCCAAGTCCTTCTCCTCAGGACTGTTCTCAATCCATTCTCTGCCCAACCTGTATTTATGTTTGGGATTGCTGTAACCCAGGTTCTGGACCTTGCACTTGGCTTGGCTGAACTTCATAAGGTTTGTATGAGCCCAAATCTCAAGCCCAAGGTCTCTGCCTCCCTTCCCTCCAGCGTGTCAACCATGCTGCACAGCTTGCTGTCGTCAGCAGACTTGCTGAGGTGCACTCTGTCCTACTGTCGATGTCACTGACAAAGTTGTTAAACAGCACTGGTCCCAGTACCAACCCCTGAGGAACACCACTCATCACTGGCTTCCACTTGGACATTGAGCCGTTGACCGCAACCCTTTGAGTGCAGCTATCCAGCCAGTTCCTTATCCACCGAGTGGTCCATCCATCAAATTTTGACTTTCCAATTTTGAGATCAGGATGTCTTGTGGGACAGTGTCAAATGCTTTGCATAAGTCCAGGTAGATCTGATTATTGCTGGACTTGTAACGGATCCATCTGATCATTACTGAAAATATGGTTAGTAACTGTGTATAGTTGTAGTATTCTAAAAAAGCAATCTGTATAACCTCTACAATTCTGCAGGGATAATTCTATCTGAAATTTCTGGAGTATGTACACCTCTGGTTGTATAATATACACAGTGAGCCACAGGATAACTTCAGGCAGTATTGAGTACATTGACACAGAATGAATTTTCTGACATGTAGCTTTACCTTCTTCCCCTACATGGTCCACTTTGCAGCCCAAGCTGGAATGTGCCCAGATACTTCCCAGTACAGTTAGTTAGAGCTTTATCAGAGATACACAGCATTCAATCACAACAATTAAAAATAGCCAAGGAATAACAACCATATGAGAAATATCAGGAGTAGGCACTGATTACTAATTACACCATAATTTCTGTGGTGTTGGGACAAACCTGTTGACCATACCTGATTACGCCTGTTCTCAAGCAAAGATGTCTCATACAATTGAGCGTTGTGAAGAACAATTCCACAAAACGCCAAATATGCTGCAAAATCCTGAGGACAAATGAACATCAACACCTCATGAAGATAACATCTCACAGCATCTTAATTCTATTCAAAGATAAGCTACTGCAACTTTTTATTCTCACTTCGGAGTATTAGTTAATATTTTAAAGTTACTTTTGGCAACCACACATTCAGGATGGGTTTTTTTTTTTTTCAGTTACTCATAATTTATTTCCTCAAGAATCTATTCTCCCTTTTTTAAACTAACAAAATTCACAGTTTGTCGTGGTAAAAGTAGAATTGATATAAGCAGCAGCTCAGAGGAATCAACTCATTTTGCAGCAATGCATATGTTATCTAGAAAAACTGCATGCAGACAATCAACCTCTCTTTCTGTGGTGAATTCTGTCTCTTGGAAAGTGGAAATAAAATTCTGCTAACACAGTAAAACCACAATTTTTTTCCCTTTCAGAATGGGATTAATTTTGATATCCTGCAAATACTCAATATGCATTTTGTTTTAAAGGGGAACTTTTCAAAGGGAAAGGATGAATTCTGATTTATTTATTTCTGAAGGTTAAGTTCTTCAGTCTGAGTGCTGCCTATTTTTTGATGTACCAATCTGATTGTGAAGTCAGTTGAAAGCAACTGCAGTGTAAGAATTAGGAATCAAGGTGCTTGCTATCTGATTATCTCATATATTGTTCACAATTTTCCCAAAGCCTTTTCTCATCCTGCAATTGTTATATTGAGAAGTGATAAAATATTTTAAAAAGAATCACTACACAAATTTTAATATTCAAAATATGTTTGTTGGGGATTCCAGAAGAGTTAGAATCAATTAATAAAAAATTATATCTATTAAAAGTTATTAAACTGTTTTAGAGTAAGCCTGTGTTTCAGAGATACATGAGAGATACCATGCTGATCCAGAAATTGAAGTATTTCACATCCACACTTCTCATGGCCTCAGAAAAAAGAAATTTGTGGTATTGCCAGGAATTTTTACTTTTTCAGAGGCATTTGATTTTTAATAACTTTAAAATTCCTGATCAGCGTGAAAAGTAATAACCTATGAAAATAGAAGAGACATAAATGTCCAGCTTTTATACCTTTTCATCTTGTTCAGTGAAAGTGCCACCAATTCCAGATTTCTTATTGATTGCTTGAGCCACACCAACCACCTAGTGTATTCAAAATGGAGTAATTAGTTAATTTTCAGGAGTCTGTCATTGGATTCTATTTCTAGACATATTTATAGAAGATAATAAATGATCATGACAGGTATTCATTTGGTTGACCTTTGGGTGACAGAAGATATTTAAGCCTGTTTTTTCCTAATTCATTCATATTACAAATAGCTGAGCATAAAGCTGAAATATAAAAAAAAAAATAAGTAGCATGAGTCCTAGATGCTCTTACAAAGAGAGGTTGATTTCATCCAAAATTGAGTCTATAAATTGAAACAATCATTTCCTAGAAAGACAACAACAGTTTACGCTTCTGCCATCATAAGCCAGACCACGCAACAACTCCCTCTAAAGTTCATCTGCTTGTGTGTGTAGAAAATACCCTTCCTGCTAGCTCTGACAAAATTTCCAAAAACATACCCTCCTTAGTGGATCTAGAGTTTGGCTACAGTGATCTTTTTGCATTTTGTATCTCTCTGACCCAATTAATTTTCATCTGCTAAAAAATAGTATACAAAGGTTGTGTTCCTGCCAGATTCAAGTTTGTTACTCAACTTTAGTACATTTTTAAAGGTAGGCTTTTACTAAGACCACACTAAACTAGCACTGAGACGACATAATTTTGTTATGCTTCAGTGGATAGTTAGACTATCCTTCTTACCAAGATATGTTGATATCTTGCATTTTTAATTATTTTCCCTGTGCAGCAACTGAGAAGGTAGGGAGAAATCCTGGTTTACAGATAAAGAAGCTAAGCAAAGGGTAGAAAGTCATTCCCAGATCCTGCAGGACATCTGCGACAGACCAAAGAAACAAACCCATATGCCTTGATCAACATGAAAGGCTTTCCGTTTAGTTCTTTCTTCTCTGGTAACTTGGATCTGTTTTTCAGAGCCCAAGAAAAACACAAGAATTTAAAGAGACCTTCATAGAAGTCAGTATGAAGAGAAAGTGAGCATTGTTAAAAAGATTAGTTCACTGGGATAGTATTTCTGTAGATCCCTCACTGATGTTACTCAAGCTGTGTACTGGCAGTGACAATTCTGTCCTGTAAACTAGTTTTCTTCCGGATTCTGTGCTTACGCTTGTACTTCCGTGCTTCAGCTCTTCTGAGTCATAAATTAACCACATAATTTCACAACACTAAAATTGGAAGGCTTTCAGAAGAAGAGACAGGTTAATTTCTGCTGAGATACTTCTGAATTTCACTGTCAATGAGGTGAAGATGAGAAGTTTTCTAACTCAAATATTTTGTCATTCCATTAAAAAAAGGTTATTTATTATTATACTACACATTACTAAAGCACACTCTTGTTCTCTATTACATCAAATCATTACTATAATAAATGTTTCTCTCTGATGCCCAAACATTTCATAGATTATAGGATTTCAAGGCCTTAGCCTTTCCCTAATATAACTCAATGTTTTCACTCTTTTTGAGACTTTGCAAATTATTATTAATATGACTTTAGGCTTAAAAAAATTTGAGAAAGTATAGTTTCCTTGATTTGTGAAGTAAAAAAATTAATATTCTGACTGTTAGTGAGTAATGACAGGTTTCTACAATTGATATCAAGAGTGGCAGGTATAAGGTGGTTGAACCCAATGCTGTTTATCAGGGTGGATGAGAAAGGTACCACAGTAGATGACCTGAGGAGTGCCAAGTGGAGGGTGGGGACAATTATGTCTGAGACATTACTTATATTGGTACCCAGCAATAAAGCCCAAGGTTTATGATATAAAGCTGAATAGCCACTAGCAGCAACTGGAAGGGATTTAGGTTAAGGCAGAGCTGAAAGAGGAGTAGCACCAGAGCAAGAGGGAGGTTGGAAACTAGGGGAGCTGGAAGACACTCACTAAGACTCTGCACATGCTTATAATTAGACCTTTAATCTATTTAACTGGCTGGATCTCCTCTTCTGCTAAACTCAAAAAATCTATTGTGCAGTAAACTCACAGGCTAGAATCTGCTAGCATAGATGAAGCCCACCTTGCTGAGTACAATAATATGAAAGAGTACATGGTAAGAAGCCATAAAGTATATGCAAAGCTTTTGATTCTCTTCAGATTTTTTGGCACACTTACAACAAATGATTGACAAAGCTGCAAAGAACTTCCTTTGTTTGAGATCCAAGTAGTGTAAAACCAGTGCAAGGTGTTAATGATGGTATTTTTTTTCATCTTGCTTTTTTGGGATAAACAATATCAGAAGAAAACTGTGTGGCGTGCATGTTAAAAAAGTTAAAAAATGTTAAAAACTGATAATCATTAAATTTATAATTGCTATACTGATGAAAGGCATACAGTTTCATTTTTGTAATGGAAAAGAAGACAATTTACTATCTCTCTGCCTAGCCTTCCCAAAATACTGATGTTACAAATAAGGTCATTGTTCTGCAGCATGAATCACTGCCAACTGTGGGCTCAAAAATGTCCGTCTGAAATAAAGCTTAACTGTCAGCTCCATTCCATACAACCCAGTTTTTCCCACAGTCAACTTCTCTTTTACTTCAGTGCAGAATATTTCTTATCCGGTGAACTTTCTTACTGTAGTAACAATATACAACTAGCCTTATATACTTCTATAACAGACTTTGAATAGTAAGCAAATCCTTTAACCAGTCAATAAGCTTTTATGTTAACCTACATGTGCAGAGATTAATGGTTAGGCCTTTTCTCATACAGTTTTCTGTGGGTATTTATTTAATTTTTTTTTTTTTCAGTTTTGATCCAGCATGAGCTAAGACAACTTTAATGAGGTCAGAGGCTTTTTGAAGCATCCAGAAGGTGAGTACTTTCATCTTGTGTAAACACATCCCCTCCATGAAAGGAAAGTCTGTGGTGCTTAAAAAAGCTATAAGAAAACAGTAAGAGGACCATATTAATATACCAAAAAAGACTATTTAAGCTCCTTTTATTAGCACTTCAGGTTTCTGACACACTAACAAAGGCGTGTGTTCCAGGAGAAATGGTCATTTTTAGATCTTTGCAAAGGCATTTAAATAAAAAAGGTTTTAACTGGAGGGAGAGAGTAAACGAGGAGAATAAACGTGCTGAAAAATCATGGTTGTTTTGATGACGATAAAAATTTTGTGCAGATGTAAACCTTTTTCCTTTCTGGTGGTTGTTTCAGTGGCATTTAAGCTTTTAAAGACAAGTTTGTAGTATGTGCCGTTTTCTCATACAAAATAAACAGTTTTCAAAATGAAACCAGTTGAAATTCTGACCTCATTTATTTCAGTACAAATTCCAGTGAACTTCACTAAATTCTGTAGAATGTGGTGTAGAGACAGTAATGAGAAAAACCTCAGATGGATATTATTTAGCCAATGGAGTCTTGCCTGCAACCAGGTAATTAGGAGGAGATGTAGGAAACTCAAGAGGATCTGTTCCTGTTACTAAAGTAATTATGTAATTAGGACAAAAGTCAATCGTGGTAGCATTTTAGGCCATGAAGAACATATGCCTGCACTTTAGAGAATACTAAGCACAGTATGAAACACAAATCCTCATTTTTAAAACTTACTATAAACAAATCTGAAATAACAATAGGCCTGATCTGTGATCTCCAGCTAGGAGTTATGTTTGCACCAGCACAAAGAAAATTGAATCAAAAGTGACTAACTGCTCTGAGCTCAGCTACACAGAAAACTTATTCAAATAACAGATACATTAAAAGTGTGAAATCTTTGTGGCAATAAAAAAAAGATATATCTGAGATAAAGCTAATTCTCTGTATAGCTTGGAAAATATCGTAAAAAAATGATAGTCCACTCAAACACTTGCTCATAGAAGCACTGTTCCAGTCTAACAAAAAAGTGTTTTTTAAGTTACTTATGCGCAATATTTTATGTGTCTTTAATTCTCCAACAGGCAGGCACCATGTGAACTTTTGAAAGTTGAGTCCTGTAGCAATAGAGCAAAGAGATATATGTTTGATTTCTTGTTGTTCTCCTCCTATGCTTACAGAATTACCCTGTATATTTCTTGGTCACCCAAGACAAAACCAGTAGGAAGGGGGTTGGTTAAAATCAGCTATGAAAGGGGATGACTACTAGAAAAGCTTACGGTAGTACTCTGGACTGAAGAAAACCAAGATTTAGGGAGAAGAAAGACTGAAGTAATTAGTATCTGCTTATACTTTGATACCTGTGAGCTTATGGCCTAATCACTAAAGTAATCAGTGACCTGTTAAGTGCTGCAAACTGTCTTCCATGACTTTACCCCAGTCTGACTAGGTAGACAGGACTATAGAACAAGGAACATCTACAGTAGTCACGCAGTAGTCCTAACAAGAGCCTTCATCCAGGTTTGCTCTACTGAAAGCATATAAGGGGAAGGCAGAAAGGAAGAAGCTGTATGTAAAGTATTGTAGTGGTCTAGCTTTCTTTAAAGTCAGCTGGAAAATTTCTCCTTGGATCAGAAACCAAGCACTTTGCTATTTTCCATTCAGATCACATAAAAAAGACATACACCACGAAGCCAAAAAAGCAGTTTTGATGATGGCATTGTTCTCTTACTTTCAGTCCCAAGAAGGGGGTATAAAAAACCCTTCAACAAGTACTGAGTCAATATCCACACTTGTTTTACCACATCTGAATACAGCCTTCCTATTTGAATTCTTGCTGGCAACACCAGTAATCTTCCAGTACTGCTACTTATTTTGTAACCTTTCTTCTCAATCTATACCAGTTATCCCATTTAATAAAGCCTGATCCACATTACAAGAAGAGATTTCTTCTAATTATCAGAGCTTTATTTTTACTATTTTCTTGCAATAACTGACTCGTCCCTCTAAAAGTAGCAGGTTACCTAGAGTGTTTCCTAGTAGATGATGACTTCAGTGCCGATGACTGTGGCAATGAAACAATCTATCTGGATTGTGCAATTTGTGCGCATTAAGATTACAGGCCTAACTGTGAAAGCTGTTCCAGCTCTGCAGGCAGCTACTGCCCTATTTAGTTGGTTCTTACTTCTGACTTAAAAATAAAATTAATAACTTGCTTCCCAAGAAGATAAATTTTTATTCACTTTTATTCACTTTGCTGGCATCTGAAGAAAAGTTACACGAAACCAAAGAATGGTAGCAGAAATAAGGAAACTCAACTTCTATCTCATTTTAAAGATGGGAACATACCCACTTGAGAAGACAGACTAAGTGGTTTTAACCTTACTTTGCTCTTCTGGGCTTGGAGATGTTTGATTCAGGCTTATAAAATTATCCTTCAGGGACAGAACTGTATTTACAGACTTTCATTTTTAATCAACAAAACTTTCACATCCTCTTCCTTCAGTGATGCCAGCAGTAGTGTGCATGATTGCCAGCAGTCTAGCTACAATAACATATGTCTCAGCATAAGCTGAAAATCCAACCAAGATGCATATTACTGATCTCCATAATCCTGCAGCAAGACTGCTACTGGAACTCGAGTTAGTTTGTTTAAAATTAGCTTGGCTAGATCTACACTATACTCCAGTGACTGTGATGTATTATAGCTGAAGTGTTCACTGTGGGAGAAAATAACAGCTGGCTAACAGTAATATGCCTGGTCACATTTTATACAACAAAAATCAACAGGCTGCTCTAAGTAGAGTAGCATCCCTGATTTGTTGGGAAGAGCTTCCCAGTCACAGGAGATAGGGCAAAATAAACATAAAACTAAACAATTGGATGAGCATTGCCAAAATAAAACATTTCCCTAGCCAATTAGGAGGAAGTTCAACCTTACATACTCAGAGCCTGGGAGATAGGTCTCAGTTAATTCAACTAAAAGTTCCCATATGAGAAAATCTGACAGATTTTAGTAGAAATTAAACTGCAATAGAATTTTATGGAAATCATCTTGCACAGCTGAGAGAAAAAAAAAGGAGAAATAACAGAAAATTATGTCATTTCTGTAGATGTCTTATGGCAGCTGTGATGACTCTGTGCGTCAGAGACCATCCATTCTACAGATATTCCAAACCAGTCAGAAAGCTGTACTGGGTCTTGTATCAGCTCTGGTTAACTCTGAAAGTTGGTTTAAACTAAGGACTTCCAGTCCCTATTCAGTTCTGTCAAATTTTGTCAAAATGTCCATTTATAAATGGCTACAAAACCAGATGGAGAAATTTGAGGTGATAATTATTTGCAACTTCTGTAGTTCTGTTTCTGGGTCTCTGAATCCAAGACCAAAAGAAATCAGAAGAAAGTGACACTGTATTCACTGACTTTATTAAAGCAGCTCTAGAAAGCAAATCAGTACCATTTGAAGCTTCTGAAAAATTAAAGGTTTAAGGACACATCAGGAATGAAAAGCTGCTTTTTGAGATACACTATGCTGAACTGCCACAACCTTAGGTCTTCTGCCAGTAGTGGTAAAACCCTGATTTCTGTACAAGCAGTGTAGCACTGAAACTGTTAGCATTAATAGCTCCAGCTAAAGCCTATGGCCAGCAATACCAGTTTCCTCTTGCAAAAGAAATAACCATGGTGACTCTGTGGTACAAGCTGGCTAATACTAACTTTTCATTAGTGGCTTCTGTACTATTGAGGGTAAAACTTCAGTCTGTTTTGAAGGTTTTTATGTGTTCTCTGATACGCATCGATAATCCAAGTATCAGGTCTTACTGATGTCTAGATAACTGTATACAGTTACCTGCTCTTACAGAAGAATCACCAGAAGAGAAGATCTTTCAGGATCAAAATGGAATCTTTGCTATGGTTTCACATTCACCTCATGACAAAGTTAAATACAGGAATAGATGTTATAATGATTTGACCTCATCAATACAATTCACTTTACCCAAGACCTGCCTTCTTCCTTGTTTTCTTCAACAGTGATAACCAGCAAATGATACAGCTTTGCATGCCAGAAAGCATCATATGGCAATATATTTGTCATATGATGGGATGGAAAGAATTTATGTTTCCTTATTAGAGATTGTGGAGCAGAGGTTTACAGATATCAGAACTTTGTTCAAAGCCCCTGAAGTCAGATGCAAAGCTCAAGTCAGTTTGCATTTGTGTTTTTTCATGGGAAAATGAGAACTCTTCATAAAGCTAGCACCACACAAGCCTCTACAAGCTGATCTTAAAGGACATAAACAAAACCAGCAGAAGTTTCTACATCTGAAATGCAATGTTTCTGTGGCATTTCTGTCTGCAAGCATAGGTTGAGTAGGGGACTGAGAGAAGTTCTTTTACTATTAAGTGCACACGATCCAATTCTTCATGTGCATCTGTACAGAGGTAAAGTCCTCTTATTGCACTGCTTTTTTCTCATTGTTACTAGTTCCTGTGTCCTTTTTATGAGCTCTTCTGTGAATCAAACTGTTTTCTTCTTTCTGTCTCCGGAATTTCTTACTAGCTATTATTTTTAAATGAGACTTTGGTTTCTCACATGCCTCATGGAAACATAGGCAAATGTGAAAAACATCTACTGGAAAGATCTCCATACTTCAGATGGCCCAGAGGACTTAATAATCAGCATGAGATTTTCTTCCTCTCAATTACTGACTCTTTGTTTTAAAAAAAATAGTACTGACACAAGACAAACAAACAGAAAACTCCAGTTCCTTCTCTTTCTCAGTGTTTATTTTTGGATGTCTTCCAGAACTGTCTTTTGACTGTGGTTGCTGTCATCCTGGGCTGAGGCCGCATTCACTAACCTCAATATTACTAGGGGGGCTTTGGGAATTTTTGTAATGTAATTTTTTTTTGTTGATGTTAACAGGGAGGAGCCAGTATTCTGGTTTTGTTGTTTTGGGTTTTTTTTAAAACAGAAAAAGCAGCAGAATGCAAATGG